GTAGATTTACACGAATACCAATTTCCATGAAAAAATTCAGAGCACGTTTTAAAGTAAATGCACTCGATAAGAACTTGTAAACATGTGAAGTAATTTTAAGATCTCAGATTGACGAAGTGTCAAAAGAAAATGTGGTTGCAATTTTTCGGAAATAGTCCAAAATATTTTTTATGGAGTAATTTTATTTTTATAATTTAATGAGCCCAACAATTTAATTACCGATAATTGAGTAGTTTTATTTGACATCTTTGAGCTAAATGAATCTATAATATCTAAATTGCAGTGTAATGATGTTCTCGAATCAATAGCATTCATACATGGGCTCTGGAAAGTTGACAGTGATATAGGTAAATGAAATAATATGTATTTAAATTTCACTTTCTTACCTACATGGGTTACGTAATGAACTTTGAAAGTCAACCAGTTAAAAAAGAATTGGAATTTTCCTTCGAACTGTTTAGTATCTTTCAAACTTCAAAAGAGTTTTATATACTTACTATTCTTACATTACAACAATTCAAACATAAGACTATTCCATCCCTCATAATTATAGTAAGAAGGATTTTAAAAAACTCTCTTTAAAAACGACATTTAATTGTCTAATTTCTATAAATTTAATTGACTTTAAAAATGAAGTGATGATTGTAGGACTGCCAGTTATATTTCAAATCATCAAACGATGAATTATCTAAAATATTTTTTTAGATAAACCCACAAACCAAAATGCACAGGCGGTAGGGGTGGAGCTGCAATTTCCCTCCGCCAGAGAGCTCTGCGCGATCCGGTGGCCGGCGCGGCGCGGCGGGATGAGCCTGGGAGTTGAAGATAAACTGCGCTTGCGAAACTCGAAGAGACGAAAAGCGCCCCGCGCATCAATCACCATTAAAATATTCCAGCGGGCGAGCGCTCGACGGGGTACGCGCGAGGCGGGGGAAGGCGAGGGAAGGGGGAAGCGGGGCGAAGCGAGGGAAGGGGGAAGGCGGGGGAGAGGTGGAAGGGGGGAAGGCGAGGAAGGGGGGAGCGGGGCCGGGCGGGAAATGCGGGGTTCAGAAGGGATCGGGCGGTAGAGGCAAGAAAAAGTGGGGTAGGTTGGTGGAAAGACGGGGCACGGGCGAGAGTTGGGGGCAGGGCAGAGAAGGGCCGGGGTTGGCGGCAGGCGAGGGCCGTAGCGGGGGCGGGGGAAGATTGGAGCAGAGAGGAGAAGGCGGGGCGGGGGCGGACAGGGCAGAGAAGGTAGGCGGGCAGGCGGACAAGAGGGGCCGGGCGAGAGTTGGGGCAGGGTAGAAAGGAGCGGTGGGCGGGGCAGGCGAGGCCGAGAGGGGCGGGAGAAGGAGTTGGGCAGAAGCGGAGAAGGCGGGGCGGGGCCGGCCCGGGCGTGGGGAAGCGGGGCGGGGTAAGTGAGGAGCGGGGCGGGGCCGGGCGGAGAAGGAGAGGTGGACTGGGCAGGCGGAATAGAGCGGGGCCAGGCGGAGGAGGCGGAGCAGAGTGCTCAGGGCGGGGTAGAGCGGGGCGAGCTTGAGCAGGGAAGGGCGGGACGAGATAGCGGAGCGTGGCTGGACGGGATGGGGCGGGAAGAGCCACACACAGTGACATCAACGGCCTCCACCAGTGATACAATGCTGTTACTACACAGTGCACATCCATACTGCAAATAAGTGTGTGTACGTAGGGGGCGGACCAGATAATGTGCACCCCGCTTATAATTTTGAAAGGGGCCCCTAATCCACACTTCATTAAATATTTTGTTGACGTCAATATGTTAATTTCTCATTTCCCCCTTTCCTTAATCTGACAATTTGATAAATTGTTATCTTTGAAAAGAGGGTCTCCAAGGCATCCAAGAACTCTGACAATGATTCAACATAAAATCAATTCTACTAATTAATAGCATAATTAAATTTATAATTTAATTCTGTTTTTAGTAAGTTTTATTTAGTTACTACTAAAACATGTCATATGTACGAGTAAATATGTTCATACATACAAGACAGTCACATTTCATCCATCTTCAGCAATATTACTTGCAAAACTGGAGAAATAATAGTCAATGGGACACATTTAGATTATTATCTTTTGTTTAAATGAAGTTACTCTTAATATCCATTCATTAGAAGGCTCAAATAAATATATTTAAAACTCACAAATTATTTTAAATAAAAAATTTAAAATAGGTTTCTAAATTTTGGCGATTAGAATTTTTGCAAATGAATCTTTTCAAACGTTTTTTTCGTGCTATTAGATACACTATTACACCAGAAAATGCTCGATAGTAGGTAATAGCAGTTCCCAATAATGTGCAAAGTTCTGGTTTGCGAAGGTTGTAGTAAATTTTTGTAACAATGCATCAATTTACACAACTTTTAACATTGTACTATGAAAATATGTCAGAAAAAAAAGAGTTTATTCTGTGATCAAAACGTTATTATATAATTTTAACCCTCAACGTCCAACACTTGCCTCGCTTGCACCGATAAGATTTCAATGGTGGCAACACTGACACGGGGCTTACGCGTTTCAGTGTCTTTCGCACTAGTATTTGGAAGAAGGTTCGTGTGATTCATTAACCATTAGCCTTTTAACAATTAGAATAGTTTAGTCACGATGTCGTGAGGAATGGGTTAAACGCGTGTATTTTGTTCATCTCCATGTATAGATAAAGTTTCTTTTAGATCTTATAGTGAGCTAAGTAAGTCTGTTCGTCTCTTTTAGACCGGAATTCGGTGGTAATCAGTCAACTTTAAGATTCAGCGAAAACCATAAACGTTCGGACGGTATTGACCCTTTTCTTTCATCCTGAACCACTGTGCGGCGCCGTGTGGGAGCCGAGCAAGGGATCACTTATTCCGCGGGGGGAGGGCAGCTGCATTTTGAGAGGCAAAACTTGAACGAGACTCGGCACCGAAGCGGAGTGCCTCTCAACTCGACTTTCTTCGCTTTCCCGCTCGGATAACAAGAGCCACGGCGTTTTATGCGTATTCCTTCTCTCTTTTTGCGCATAAAAAGTCATTGCAAAGGGAAGTTAGTGAAATATGATGTTCCGTTGCTCTTGTTTTACGTCGGGAAGGAAAATAAAGTGGTACAAAGAGCAAGCGTGCGGCGATGGTGTAAGGGTTAGCGTATCGGACTGTTGTACCCAAGTTTACGGGTTCGAAGCCGTGGATTTTTAAGAGTGAAAAAATCCTTCGTACGCCTTCCTTCCGAGGGAAAGTAAAGCCGGCTGTCCCATGTTAGTAGATTTACTTGCATGTAAAAGATCCTCAAGCATAAATGGCGCCTCTGAGCTAAATTCAAATCGCCTGTTTCTCGCCCAAGAAATACCTCCTTTCTCTGCTAGTTGGTGAAAGGAGCGTAGCGAAATTGGCGTGGTCAAACGGATGTGGTTCTCATGGCCTGAGTCTCGCCACGTAAAATAAGGCATCAATTCAATTCAATTCAAACGTATTCGGAATGTGGGTACGCATACAGTAATACGCTAATTAAAACGGAGGTGTTTGAATGATATCCAACCGGCTTTCTAAGTTAATTATTTTATGAACAATCGAATACATGAATTTGTAAGTGCTCTTTTGAGGCTCGGAACATGACTAACTATAAAAAACAAATATATGACTTAATATTTAAGACATATGATAGGACCGTTGTAATACAGTTCTTGTGTACTCGAACTCTTACTGTGTTAGTTTAAATTCCGACCTTGTAACATGAATAACTGTCACAAAAACTGAACTCATAAAATAGCATTAGCATCCGAAATGTATTCTGTCGTAACATTACATTTTATTGAAATCGAGGCACTATGTTAATGCAATTTCTTGCTCTGAATGTTTTAAGAGGTAAAACAGTGAACATAAATAGTTAACCCAAATGTAAAAGTTAAATGCAAATTCACTTGTTTTATAGTTTTATTATAATGTTTACTTTGAATTTACTCTAAAATAATTAAGATACATTACAATAATTTACCTCATAGGTGGTTAAGTTTAAATCGATCATTTAAATTCAACGAAAGAGAGAAACTGGGAGAAAATGCAAGTTTGGATGAAGGGCAAGGATAAATAATGTGTCTGAAGTAACGGAGTACGATTTAAGAAAAATGATTCGGTTTACATCACATTACACATTTATTATATGGCATTAAGGGAAATATGTAGCCAGTAGATGTGAATGAAAAGTTGACACTATTTAACGTAATTTACAGTTCGATATTAAATGGAATGGAAGCCATTCTTTTAGTTTTTAATATTCATTGCATGTTGTAAATGTCATGATGAATTGTTTGTAGTTCAATCCATATTTTGACTGTGGTTACTATAGACAATTGTAAACGTTTATTTGACAGACTTTCACAAATAAGATTTGCCCCTGATAGTTATGCAATCTGGCAATGTACAAGTGTTACGCAGATCACGTTCTGAAGCAGTCGAGGATATTTCTGTCCCTGCGGAACACCTGTGCATGCGTGGTTGCTTAGCAACAAGGAGCTAATGTCAACACGTGTCTCTTTTACTATTCATAACTTCCCACTACATGTTCAGTGACAAAAATAGAATCATTTTGAACCCTTTTACATGCTGAAGAAACTTGAAACTTTTATTCTGAGCTTGTAACATACACTTATACAGAATCTCGAAAATAAGCTGTTAAGAAAATTATTTTGTCTATTTAGTCTAATAAACTATTTGGGTATTCTGAACGAGTGAGCAGCAATAAGTACACCAAAAAATTGGTTGCAAAAATGGTTTCCAAGAAAATATAGGCATTGCAGAAGTATAGAAACACTCTAGAAACATGTAAATAGTTTATTATTTACAAAAGAAACTAATATTGTCCAGAATAGAAAAATAAAAGGAGACGAATTTTGTAAATTAGGTGCTTTTTTATTTTAAGTAGTTAAGTTGACGTAATATACTTGACGTTGTCGTAAGAGCTTATTTTCCAATTTTGGTCATCCTGTATATGTCATTATGGAATGTGTTGAAGGGTAGTGCTGTGGACTCACCGAGGCTGTACCGCCAGAGGTCCTTGAGCGGCAGGTTCCCGTTGCGGCCGCCCAGCAGGTAGACGTGGCCGCCGAGCAGCGTGGCGCTGTGCTTGGCGCGGGAGGCGGGCGCGGAGCCGTCGGCGGGCGGCGCCACCGCCGTCCACATGCCGCCGCCCACCCCGCCCACGCCAACGCCCACGCCCACGCCGCTCCTCACCTACGACACACACACAACATTCAATCAGCAAGGCCCGTGTAATGTGACGACAACCACTGATTATTTAATGAAAAAAATGATTGTTCATCTTTTAGTTAATCCTATTCCTTTCTTTGACTTCACAGGCCTACAGGTCTTGGCCGACCAGCGGTGGCCCAGCCTCTCGACCACGGGATAAGAGTTTCGTGTGGTTAGAACAAAGACATCCCTATACTGGTCTTCATAACCTTAGGGTGAGCGTTTTTATCGTCACACAGCAATAGATACTGGGATGTTTGTAAGGAAAGCGCACATTTATAATTTTGCTCCGGTCGGGAATATAACCCGTGGTTGCGCCGTGGAAAGCGAGCACGCTAACCAACGAGTCAGCTGAGAGAGCCTTTTAGTTAATCAACTTCAACATATTAAGGATAATAACAGTTAAATAAAAATTATATAATATACACAAATAAAAAAATCAGGTGCTTATGTCATGATAAATTTCTGCTGCCAATCTGAAGGCAGATGCTAGTGTCAAGAGAAATTATTGAATTGGAAATATAAATATTGGAATAAGAAAAACAAGAATTGATTAATTATAAAACCAGTGATATAAGAAAAGTTTTAATACTTTTTCAAAGTATCGAAATTCATTTTTGTTAATTCAGATTTTTTATATTCATTACAATTTTTATTTTTATTATCTTTAAAATTACGAGTTGTTTTTAAACATTTTGTTCAGTTTCATACATTAAAATAATACTCTTTTAATATTCCTCCTACACATTTTTAATTAACCCGTATTTATAGGCCTTCTTGGACAAGCAATTCCATGCTACATAAGAGAAAATGAAAGTATTAAGTTACGGTATGCCACAAAACATGGGATCCACATCATGTTTAAATTCTAGATTATTCAAAGTAGAATGTAGAACTATAGATATGTTCATTTGGAAGAAGTTGTTCCATTAAAAACGGTATGTATGTTTACATAATATAATTATTGTAATATAAAAAAATTAATGCTCCATATCCGTGTTTTAATATAGTACACGCTTTTGATTCTAAGAATAGTTTCAAATACTCTCTTCAATACTTAGTAACACCGAGTCGCGTAAAGCGTAAACTCATTTCCTCTGAGCCACGTAGATGGCCTCGTCCCCGAAAGGATATCATCCGACAACCAGCCGCCACTTTGTCCAACATAACATTGGCGGCGTCACTAACGAAGCAGATAAGCGCGGCATTTCGTCAGGGGTGCGCCGGCACGCTCCCCCCTCCGGCGCAACCCCCTGCGGGCGCTTGGCGCTATCGCCGCTGCAAGCGCTGACGACCCACGCGCGCAGATAAGGCCACCCGCTGCTTCTGCGCAGACGCCTCGCGCGGGCTAACGAGGCCCTCGCACGCGGAGGTGGAGGTGGGATGGCGGTGGAGACTTAACGGGGACGGAGCTGGGGCGCAGGAGGAGTGGGGGCGGTGGTGGAGTTGGAATGGAGGCTCAGCGGGGACGGAGCTATTGCGGAAATGGAGCTGGGATGGAGGTGGAGGGGGTGGAAGCGGATCGGGAGCGGAACGGGGTTCAGTCAGGGCGGGAACGGGGCCTGGGGAGCGGAACTCGGGGCGCGGGCGTGGGGGCGGGCGCGCGGTGATCGGGGCGTGGGGCGGGGCAGGCGATGGCATGGCCGTTGGCGTAGGTGCGGGTTTTAGGGGGCCGGTGGCGGGCGTGGCGGAGGGCGCGCGTGCACGGCGCGGGGCCGGGGGCTGGGAGCAGGTTCAGGGCTCAGAGGCGGGGTGTGGAGGCCGGGGCGCGGAGGTGGCGCGAGGCGTGCTGCGGGGCGGCGCGGGGCGGCGCGCGGGGCGGCGCGGGGCGGCGCGCCGGGCGGTGGCGGGGGCGGCGCGGGGACGGCGCCGTGGGCGCGCGGGCGGCGCGGGGGCCGCGCGGGGCGGCGCGGGGCGGCGCGGGGCCGCGGAGAGGATGGCGGAGGCGGAGGGTGAGGTGGCAAAGAGTGCTGGCAACGGAGGTGCGCACGTGCAGTATCAGCGGGGGCGGAGGCGATGCGGGGACGGGCGCGGAGAGAAACGCGGCTCTAATACGGAGGGAACCATTTATCTCGCATCCAGTCTGCGCAGGCGTCGTCGGCCGAATACACAAATGGCAAGAGAACAGAGGCACAGAGCGTCGCCACGCAGGTATTACGCGTCTTCCCTTGGCGCTGTGATGTCCTTCAGGCGACGTCACCTACCTGTAAGCACGCATTGAATGGGCTTGTATAAAGACTGAATAAAATGTTCGTATTACTACATCTGCTTTGTTACGTACATTTAAAGACAAGAGATACTATAAAAACATTCATTTGCTTTCAAATCAATAAGCTTTGGTTAGAAAAATTTCCTCTTGTATACAGTAACACCGTCACGCTCCTATATCTCGTCGAACCAATTAGATGCGATTGAGCGGACGAGATCTCAGTTCTCCTTCTGCAGGCTTACGGTGAAAACGCAGCATGACATGCTCCGTTTTCAGGGTCACCTCTTAGGGACAAAGAGCGACGTTTCCTATTCCTTATTACAGACTTCCGACCGAGTGGCAAACAGGTTGCAAGGCAAGACTACCTCCGATGGCTCTCGAACCCAGATAGTGCCCTTCTTTTTCTTCTTCTTCTCGTGTATATCCGGCTCCTCCTCCTTCTTCTCATTCACTTATTCCAGCGTTATAGTTGAAGATTTGCGCCGCCCATGAGCTCTTGTTACACCAGCATCCACATGGAACTGTTCGGATGTAATGTGGGCAGCCAGCATCACCGATTCTCATCCATGCCGTAAAAGCATTCCAGGTCCCACCCAAGATGATTTGTTTGGGGTGTACAGAACGAAAAATAAACAAACAATTCTGGTGATTTTACGCTGATAAAAAATGTATATTTCAATCAAGATTTTTCCCTATTTTTTTATTCTTGAAAAAATTGCCATTATGAGACACTGCATTGCCTATGTATAATTTATGCAAATTATACAGACCTCTTCATGATGGGCGAAGTTTTCATATTGTATTTGACCAAGTGTAAACTAAAAAGTAAATGAAAAAACAAATAATGGTGATGTCTTGCCTGTAACATATTCCACACAAATTCACGGAACCACAGTATCAGTACCAGGAAGTTCACTGCGCAACCGCGGACCTATAGTTGCCGAAGAAAAAGTACAACGAGCTAATAAAACACGAACGCGGACGATAAGGCCGAAACTGTCCTGGCACGGAACCAAAGACCTCTATCACGTGATACTGCACACGCCCACCCCCGTTGCCAGCACCCCTCTGCCATCCCAGCCTCCGACTCCGCCATCCTCCGCCTGCCTCCCTTCGACTTCTCGCCTTCATCGTCTCCCACCTCTTCTCCGACTTTTGTCACGTCGCTTCCTTTCACCCGGCCTCCACTTTCTTTTCCGTTCTCTCATTTGCTCCCGCCCTCGTCTCCAACCTCCTCTCTGCCTCTTCCTCCGCTTTCTGTCACGTCTCCTCTTTCACCCGGCCTCCGCTTTCTTTTCCGTCCTCTCATTTGCACCCACTCTCGTCTGCGCCTTCTGAGCCGCCGCCTCCGTTTCGGCCTCCGAATTCCTCTCTAAGAGTCTCCTTTCGACTTCTCTCCTTCCGCCCTTTCTCCGCCTTCGCCTCCCCTTTCTTTTCCATTCTCTCGTTTCCTCCCGCCCCTCGTCTCCTGCGCCTTCTGTGCCGCCGCCTCCGTTTCCACCTCCGATTTCCTCTCCAAGAGCCTCTTTTCGACCTCTCCCCTTCAGCCCCTTTCTCCGCCTTCGCATCCGCCTCCGCTTTCTTTTCCGTCCCCTCATTTGCTCCGCGCTGGGCTCCTTAGCCTTGGCCTCCTCCTCCGCCGCAGTCGCCCCCGCTCCCGCCCCCGCTGCCGCACTGGGCGCCCCAGGGACGCGTTATTAACCCTCCTTCCGCTCCGCTCCGCCCCGCTCCGTCCCGCTCGGCAGCGCAGGGGCCCAGGGAAATCGCCGGCCCCCGCTGGCCGCCGCCGCCGCAGTCGGCCCTATCTCCCGGGAGCGTTTATCTTCCGGCCGAGGCGTTTGTAAACACGCTGTCAACGTTTCTTCCGCGCTGCTGCCCTCGTCGACTTGTTTGCTGGGCGATTCGTTATCGAGGCGGCGCGACGGCCAATGAGGGAGAAAGACCGAAAGGATGTGGACTCTTGCTAATTTGAACATACACAGAAATTGGAAAAAAATCCAGTTGTGGGATAGAATCGAAAAAAACCAAACACATGCGTGTTTGCTTACAAATTGGTGGGTCGTGGTGAAATGGAAAATGTATTTCCAGGCGATTGCATTGACGGGAGAGATTTCCAGTGCTTGTGCAACTGCCGAGACAGTCACCAGCGAATTAATATCCAAATCGTTTTGGCAGAGGTCGCGCCACAATTGCGAGTCCACTGGAGAAGGCGTGCGTCAAAGTCTGAAATTCCTTCCCTCGACACTAGATAAAATCTCGGACGGTACATGGAAAAAAGAGACCAGCTTCATTGTTTGGGTGTTTCTGCGCATCGATTCCAGACGAATTCTTAAGCAGCCTTCTCAACAATGATACACGGACAGCGACCGATTTTGCATTTCCCGCGGGTGGACAATCTCTTCATGGCTGATACCCTGTGATCTCGAAAGGACAGCAGCAGTTCTAACTTAGAACTTCTAAGAGCATACGAATCTGAGGCCAGAACCCCTTTAGTCCGAGAAAGAAGTCAATCATTCTTCAGGCTTTACTAGTGAAAATTACACCTCGATGGGCAAAAGCGTATTTTTTGCACTCACATTTACATTACTGCAATATATTATGTCGGGTCAGAAAGGGAATACATTTAACGAATACATAAACACAGTTATGATTTTTCGCCCCTTGTAATAATAATACATTTAAATCAGGAAAACAAAATAACCCTTTCTTTATCCAGTCTGTTCCTATTATTGAAAATGGTTTTCACACGCTAACACTCGGGTCCTGCCACACG